TCATTTGATGATGATGTTTACATTACAACATAAAATATTTATAGTGCAGTGCTATGGATTGGGGAACATTAGTTACAATGCAGTTTTAAGGTAATTTGAGGAAAAATTTTGATTTTTAGTAGATAAAAAAAAAACAATTAAGAGAGTTGTTAAAAAATTTTCGAAAACGAGCAATGTGGAAAATTAAAGGAAGGAAAAAAAGTTTTTAGATGAACATGATGCGGGGTCGATTGTTGCAGTAACGAACGCAATGGATTACGGTAAGGTGTCGTTAAGAAGGACAGTTCAAGTGGGTATAAGTAAATCGCATTTACAAAGAATGTATCGAGAAAATAAAATATTGCCGTATAACCAAAATTTAACCACACTATCGAAGTAGGTGATGAACCATGGCTGCCAAGAAGTCCGGATTTATCTATTATGGATTTTTATTTTTGAGATTATATGAAACAAAAAGTGTACACTGAAAATTTTAATAACAATTTAGACCTTTTAAAACAAAAAATTGTAATTGTTATTAGAGAAATTCCGTTGGAACATATTAGAAAAAGTTATAAACAATGTCGGAAAAGGGCTGAATTATGTGTTAGTGTTGGTGGTGGTATCATTGAATAAGCTTTTATATTAATTTAGTTTAGTTCGAAAATGTTTTGTTAATCTTATGATTTAAAAGTCTGCATTTTGCTGGTATATCCTAAATTAATAAAATTCGGCATGTCGCCATAATTTAACATAACAAACATTTTATCTTAATCAACTTTTGTTGTACATTGGTCAGAAAGACCACTTTACCTGCAACGGTTAACAAACTTCTTGCCTTAACTTTGGTATTTTTCACGTAAAACTTGGTTATATTTCGTTTTATGACATCCAGACTTTAATTGCAAAAGATGGAATTTGAATTCAAAAATGTATCGTCAATTATACCTTACGGGGACACACTGTATATATATTAATAATTTTTTCGGAAACAGGTTTAGGTGGTGAATTTACACTTATAAAAGGCATAAACAAACGGTAAGGATTTATATCCGTTGCTTCGTTCATTAATAATTCTTTGTTATTATTATTTAGATATTTCCATGATCAATCGCCCTCTCTTGAGGGGCGCCCAAGTTATGTTTTGTAATTTATTATGAGTGATTTAAAAATGTACCAATAGATGGTACACATTTTGTACGGGTTAATAAGATGTAAAGTTCAAGACATACTCGGGTTTTGTACTTCAAACAGAACGGTCTCAGTTCGCCTATACCCATTTACGCCAATACATTTATATTAAATTCATTGTGACGGGGAAGGAAGAGAAGAGAAAGACTAATTAAAGATAGTTATGAGGTGAGATTTGATTTTTATTGAATTTTACAAGAGAACCTTATCCTATTACAAATCGATTCACAATTGATTTTGCTATTTCATAAACCACGTTTAAATTTTGAACCAGTCTTTTTCATTATTTATGTTGCTGGGATTTTCCTACGCCAACATTGGTCCTTCAAGCCGGATAGCACATTAATTAATGTCACTAAGAATTTTTATTTTCCTTTTTCATCAATTTCTCTGCGTTTTACGCCTTTTCGTCACTCAGAATTAATTATTATTTTTTTTTTGTTTTTCTNGTTTTGTAATTTATTATGAGTGATTTAAAAATGTACCAATAGATGGTACACATTTTGTACGGGTTAATAAGATGTAAAGTTCAAGACATACTCGGGTTTTGTACTTCAAACAGAACGGTCTCAGTTCGCCTATACCCATTTACGCCAATACATTTATATTAAATTCATTGTGACGGGGAAGGAAGAGAAGAGAAAGACTAATTAAAGATAGTTATGAGGTGAGATTTGATTTTTATTGAATTTTACAAGAGAACCTTATCCTATTACAAATCGATTCACAATTGATTTTGCTATTTCATAAACCACGTTTAAATTTTGAACCAGTCTTTTTCATTATTTATGTTGCTGGGATTTTCCTACGCCAACATTGGTCCTTCAAGCCGGATAGCACATTAATTAATGTCACTAAGAATTTTTATTTTCCTTTTTCATCAATTTCTCTGCGTTTTACGCCTTTTCGTCACTCAGAATTAATTATTATTTTTTTTTTGTTTTTCTCTCATTATTTCTCTCGCAGAATAATTATTGGTTTTCGTTCAACCAGAATTGTTATTATTTTTTCTTTTTCTTTCATAATCGCTAGCCTTTCTTTTCTTAAGATATTTTCTTTTTTATAATTTTTCGCATTCATCGTTATGGGCGAAACTTTCTTTACGTCGTACCGGTTTCTATAATCGATTACAAGAATCCATGACGTTTGGTAAACAAACTTCCTTAGATCCTATCCAAAAATTAATTTTCCTGGAGAGAGCCAAAGTTGTGGACAAGGTTTACGAAGATTTCATAGATGTTCACAATCAAATTATTGGAGTAATCAAGGAAGCTGATTTTGACGCTCAAGATGAAATTCGCATACAAGCTGACACAGCCTATTATACAATCAAAGCTCTTTTTCATCAATTATCACCATCAAGCTCTCAATCTGTTAATGATGGCTCAAGCTCATCTTCGCCTAAACTATTTTGTTTAGTTCATCATTGCCAACCTTCGATGGCAACTACAAAAATTGGCCAACTTTTTTTGATCTTTTTCGATCCTTGGTGCATGAAAATCAATCACTGGGTCCAATCGACAAATATCAATACCTCTTAACATCATTAAAGGGGGAAGCATTCAATTTACTAAAAGGCTTACCAGTTACGGAGGCTAATTATGAAACTGCCTATAATACCTTGAAGGGTAGATACCAAAATAAGAGGCACCTGGCAACTCTATATTTCTATGAGATCAGTAATTTGAAACTTCTTAAAGAAGAAACTGCCAAAGGTGTTCGTTTTCTGATGGACATATTTCATGAGTGTGTAGACGGTTTCCGTACGCTTGGCTTTCCCGTTGATGGATGGGATTTTTTACTTTTTAATATCTTGCTCCAAAAATTAACAGATTCCTTAAAAAGATCTTTTGAAGCGGAGCATGCTAACATAGAATTTCCTACCTACGTTCAGCTCAAATCATTTTTAGAAAAGAGAGCGAAGGCATTGGAAGCAGTCTTATTAACTAATGAAAAGTCTTCTTTAGGCCGGTCTAAATCCATCAATCAAAAATCAATTACGATGACCACTGAAAACCACTTCGATGACCACTTCGGTAAATAACAAACCTGCCACGTGCTTATTATGCCCAGAGTCTCATCCGATATACAGGTGCAATATTTTTAATTCTAAATCTGCAACAGAAAGGTTAACAATTGCCAGAGAACATAATCTGTGTCGAAATTGCCTCAGCAAACATCATGCTACTCCAAATTGTTCATCGACACGTACATGTCGTGTTTGCAAGCAGAGACATCACACTGCTTTGCACATTGCTCGTTCGAAATCTCCTACGATTCACGTGGGAACTTCATTTCATCAAAATCCTGCTCACGTTCAGGAAACTTATCATCAAGTTATTCTGCCAATTGCCAGCATCCGAATAAAGGATCAGTTTGGAAGATTAATCGACTCAGGAAGCATGTCCAATTTTATTTCTGAACGATTCGCTAAAAAATTACGTCTGCCACGAAAGCATACTTCATGTTTAGAGATCCAAGGATTAAATTCCATGACCTCATTATGCAATAAAGGATCTGTCGACTGTTCAATTCAGCCTCTACATTCGTCCGATCCATCCTTTAATTTCAATGCTATCCTTACTCATCACATCTGTTCTGATCCTCCCTCAATTTCATCCATAATCTCAAAGTATACTCACTTGCAACATCTAGATCCTCCCAAAGAAGATAGTCCTACCTTGCCTTCCGTCGACCTACTTTTGGGCGCAGAATTAGTCCCTCAAATCTTTACCGAAGGCCGTATCCAAGGCCGATCCCATGAACCCATCGCTGTGAATTCGGTCTTTGGATGGATCATCATGGGAAAAACATCTATTGCAACAACCACTTCAAATTCGACCTGTTTATCTACCACTAACTCTTCCCTTCAGAAGTCGATTCAAAGATTTTGGGAAATAGAAGCGGCGAGACAGAACCCACTTCACTAGAAGAAAAATGTGGAATTCATTTCAAGGCTAATTACCAACGCACCCCTATTGGCACATTTATGGTATCCTTACATTTTAAAAATTCAGAACCAGTTCTTGGTAATTCCAGCAAAACTGCAATAAAACGATTTCTCTCACGCGAACACCGTTTATTGAAAAATCCATCCTTAAGAAGCAATTATGTCCAATTTATGCAAGATTATCTACAATCAAACCACATGTCAGTAAGTCCTGCATCAGAAAATCCTTCTAAAGAATCATATTATATACCTCATCATTGTATCATGCAGTCAGATAATTCTTCATCCAAATTCAGAGTGGTTTTCGATGCATCGGCCCAAAGCTACAACAAGACATTGTTAAAGTTTTACTAGCATTTGGATGTTTCACTTACGCTTTTACCGGGGACATTAAATAAATGTATAGACAGATCTTAATTTCACCTTCTGACCGATCATATCAAAAGATCTTTTGGCGGTTTGATCCTGATGAGCCTATTCAAGAATATATTTTAAATACAGTGACATACGGTGTGGCCTCAGCTCCGTTCCTGGCTCTACGTACCTTGCTAGAACTGGCCAAAATTTATGACAATAAATATCCTATGGCTGCTTCTGTATTGCGCAATCATGTATATGTCGATGATATTGACGCAAGAGCCCAGTCCATTAAAGAAGCACTTGATTTACAACAAGAACTAATCAATTTGTTAAAAGAGGGAGCTTTTGAATTGAGAAAATGGGCAAGCAATTCCAGTACGGTTTTAAGAGCAGTATCCAGCACAGATCTATCTACGCCAATATCATTGGATTACGACGAAGGAAGTTATATCAAGGTTCTTGGACTTCAGTGGAATCCAACCTCAGATGAATTTCAATATTCTTATTCCTCTCGTCCTGCTCCTTGTACCAAACGTTCCATATTATCGGAGATTGCACGTATTTATGACTCCTTAGGGTTCTTAACTCCTTGCACGTTACAGGCAAAAATATTTATGCAACAGTTGTGGCAACTAAAAGTTAATTGGGATGATCCTCCTCCATTATCGCTTTCTCAAGATTGGAAAATTTTTAAAACCAATTTAATTCATTTATCCCACTGGAAGTTACCTCGAAGGATTGTTCCTGAGAAGATAAAATCCATTCAGCTGCATCTTTTCTGTGATGCCTCGCAGAAAGGGTATTGCGCAATGGCATTTTTAAGATGTCAAGGTCAAGATAAATCGGTCACCACTTCATTCCTTTATGCAAAAGTTCGTGTAGCTCCTTTTAAACAGTTATCGATCCCACAGCTCGAACTTTGCAGTGCGGTTTTACTTGTTGATGTTCTCGACAATATCAGAAAATCTATGCGTGGTCGGATTCTCAAGTCACGCTATCATGGATTGCAGCTTCTCCAAGCCGGTGGAAAACTTTTGTTGCCAACCGTGTAACATATATTCAAAACATCTTACCCGCTACTCATTGGAGATACCTTCTGTCATCGTGCAATCCGACAGACTGTGGTTCACGTGGCCTTTCTCCTGACCAGTTAATTAAATCTGACCTGTGGTGGAAAGGCTCTCCATGGCTTTCAGATGTACCAGAAAATTGGCCTTCGCCCTTTCTTCATAAATTTGAGTTTTGTGATACAATTCCTGAAACTAAAGTATAACTTGTCAATAACGTTGAAATTAAAAGTAACTGTATTGATTACCTTCTGAATAAATTTTCCTCGATTAAGAAAATTCAACGCATTTTTTCATACATCAAAAGATTCATCAACTGTCGCAAAAAGCGTAATCAATTCCCAGATCTGTCATTATCGCAACAAGAAGTCCAATCTGCTTTAACTTCTATCATTTTTCATGTCCAACGACAAGAGTTCGCTAAATTAATTCAACAAATTGAAACCAATCAGCTGCCTGCTAAACCCCTTCGAAAGCTAGCTCCCTTCCTTGATGGGGATGGTTTAATCAGGGTGGGTGGTCGGTTAAAAAATGCTGTTATACCGTTTGATCATTGGCATCCAGTTTTGCTACCAAAGAACAATCGGTTAAGTGAAGTAATTGTGGAAGACATTCACAAAAAATACCTTCACCCGGGACAACGAACCCTTCAAGCATTGGTGCTGCAGCATTATTGGATTCTCCACTCCAGAAGTGTGCCGTTCAGAGTCCTCTCCAGATGTCTCAGATGTTTTCGTTGTAATCCGAAGTCGTATGCACCAATGATGGCTGATCGGCCACCAAAGCCGTACACAC